AGTGGAAGTATAATACTTTCGCATTTCGCATTTCGCCTGGTGAGTGAGGTGGCCGGAGCCCAATTTTCAAAAGGTTGTCAACGCATCTATAACCCTCGGGTGTAGCAGATGTCTATGGGCGGCGGTATTCGCTTAACATTAGGTGAACCGCCTGCCCGCTCGGCAACTTTTCACATAAAAAAAGACATGAATTTCCGTTACCTTTTCTCCAACACTTCCTACGAGAATACTGCGCTAGCGGCAAAGGCGTTTTTTCTCAGATTTAATCTAAAAGCAACAAACGTAACTGAATAAGATTGAAGTTTGATAATTTAAAAGTTGAATAGGTCGACGCACAAAGTAGCGAGCCAATTGTGTTTCTACTTTATTTACCTGAGAGTAGACAATAAGAGTGTCTCCACACAATCAGCCCGACGAGAAAGTTGATTGTTTGTGTTCCATTCAACTTCACAATAGAGAAAATGAAGAGGAGCCAATTCTTTTTGCAATAGCTTTTATCCGCCATCTTCTTCGCTTGCCGAAAGTTTGCATTTAGATTTTTACCTCCTTGCGAATGCATTAGACTCAGTTTATATTTATTCAGGAAAAGAAATTCGCTGTAATTGCAAATAGATTTGTAACAAGCGAGTTACATTTTTAGGTAAAATAGTCCAATAATAGATGCCTGTCAATTGATTACTATTATCAATTAATACTATATCAGAAATATTTTCTTATTTATTGGTTATCGCAAGTTTTAGGTGTTATTCTATGAAAATACGTGTACTTTTTATCCCTCCTATAGCATCAATAGTTACCTCAATAGTACTGTTCCTTATTAACTTGTTATTGTTGAGTCAAACGAATCCAGCGTTATTTAGGCAATAAACATTCTGTCACGATGAGAATCCGAAAATAAAAACTTCCATCTAACTATGACGTCAGATGGGACAGATCCCCAGCATCACTTAATTATAGCACTGCGTAATTCGCATTACAATAATGAACCGAAACAATAATAAAAGTTTTGACGTCGGAGCGCGGCTATTTGGGAAATATTGAACAACTAAGTGCTACTACTAATGCGGACTTGCTCATCATCATTAATATAAAAATCATATCACAAAATTATGTGTCGAAGTATAAAAAATCAGTTTCATAATTTCGTATGAGCAAAGTTTTAAGTTTCCTTCGAATGGTACTTTAAAGTTTTCTATTGTGCCGAAAATGTTGGCAACATTGAAAACACATCGCTTTTCTCAACGTCACGAAGCGGAGGCCTAGGGTTGTATAACGTCCGTTATCGACGCCTACAATAAGTCGCGTTTTATACGGTTATTATAGCGTCATAAACGCCACCGGCCGGTGTTTCATACAGTGCCGGGGCATATTATACTGCCTGTGGCCCCGATACTAGGGCTGATGGGGGCCCAACAGGGGTCCGACGGGGGGCGAGGGGCCACCGCCCACTGTCAGCGCCACGTGCCACCCGACAGATGTGTCGAGATATCCGATATCGGGAGACACATTCATAATCTTTGTCTGAACCTTTCGCTTCTTATATTAAAATAACGAGTACCAACATCGCAGGTGCGAACTGAATTTAAATGGAATCGGGGGAAAAATTCGGCCGACCGAATACTGGCTGTTAAATTGGTGATTCCTCCTTCTTAGTATATAGTATATATATATATATATATATATATATATATATATATGTGTGTCTACGTTTAATGCATATAAATAATATATATAAACTCAGGTAATTCTTGCAATTTTATAATGAAAGTCAAATAAACAGCTAGGCAGGGCCCTCATTATTTAAGCTATACTATTGTAAAGTTTCATTAAAATCCATTCGATAGTATTTGCGTGAAAGAGTAATAAACATCAATAATACATACAAACTTTCCCCAGTATAATATTATTATATTATATTATATAAGTAAAGATGCGACGAAAAAAAAACGGATGGTAGCCTACACTCTCAACAAATTTATCAGTCCTTAACAATCCATATAGGCCTCAAACAAGGAACCTCGCAAAGCCTATGCTATGAAATAATGCAATAAAGATTTAAGTTATAGTAATTCAAAACTTTGAAAATTTAAACAAACTAAAACATTTCTTAATAATAATAATAGAACCTAATGGGTACGGTCGCTAGCTGAATTAATTATTTTTCGCAGAATCCTTTTCTTACACAGTGATTATTTATCTTAGCCATTGTTACGAGGAGTAGCGTAGACGAATTTCCCGAAAACGCCCCATTTATTTAGACTGAACATACAAAGGGAACGTGAAACCCAAAACTTTTTACGTGGTCAGCGACAATGCCATTTCCCCCGCTTCTCTTAACATTTTGTTTCTAACTTCGACGAACATTACATTTACTTGGTTTTGAGTAGGCCAAGTATACATACTGTAACGAAACATCGGATAGTAAAACGTGATAACGGCACAATTCAACGTTCCGATTTTATATTTACTCAAGCGTTTGGCCCGCAGGTAACGTTACTAGCACGCCTCGATTGTTACGTATTTCTTATTTCGTCCGATTCACGCCGACCCGTATGACAAGAGGGGGAGAGCTTTTAGCCAATCAAGCACCTAGTTTCAATGGTAAAGTTTTTTTGTTCCAACAGCGTATACTAAAATCCCCTTCCACAACACATCGGACCAAGAATGTAAAAAAGTGTGACTTGAAAAATATTATCCTCCACAAATGTTGGCCATTATCTCTTGGTTACATTATCAACTCAATTTACGATAGACAAACAAAACACGGCCATCTGTGAGGCTCGTGCGACCCTTATTTGCCTTTTCGGGATGTTAGTACCTTTACCTCAATTTCTGCGTAAGGTTCGGCTACGCGTGAAATACCAATTGGGCCCTAGTCTCCTTGAACGGATCACAGTGTTTGTTTAGGTTTGCTTAGGTTGATGAAGGTGAACTAAATATTAGCTACAGTCCAAAAACGTGCGCTGGTACCCCGTACCTTCACGTACGTTCATATTAATTTCGATGCTACACTAAACCAATGATGACCAAATTACGAGATCCTTGATCGATCGATCGATCAAGGTTTTCGTATGGTTAGTATTGCGTTCAATGGAGGTGACGCAAATCTTAAATATTGTAGTATCCTTCTGTCAAGATTTATGAAATATGTTACAAGTAATGTTTTATTTATTATTATTTTTTTTTGTGAAAAGTTGCCAAACGAGCAGACGGCTCACATGATGGTAAGTGAATACCGCCGCCCATGGACATCTGCTGCACCCGAGGGTTACAGATGCGTTGACAACCTTTAGAAAATTGGGCTCCGGCTACCTCACTCACCAGACGAAACGCGAAAGTATTTGACATACTTCCACTTTACGCTGGTCTTCTGTGAGGTCGTGGTAAAGTAAAAGTAAAGTAAAATATACTTTATTGTATACCAGTAGAAATAAAGGATTTATAACTAAAGACAGATGGGTACAACAGGCGGCCTTATCGCTAAAACAGCGATCTCTTCCAGGCAACCTTAGGGCAGAGGATTCATTAAAAGAAGAAAGCGGTAGGGTGTACTAAACAAATGATAAGAATAGTAAATACACAAAAAAATATATGTATATATACATATAGACAGAAAAAAAAAGATATATGATGGACGAGAGATAGTATATTAAGAGGATAGGTAATGACATGGTGGTAGGTAATGGTACTTACCCGGACGGGCCTGCCCATTCGTGCAACAGCCGAGGCTGCTGCTTGGCCCTACCACCGTTGAATAATAAATATGTATATATATATATATATATATATAATTATAATATCTATAATAATAAAAAAAATGTTTTATTTAAAGAGTCATTTAACAAAAATTTATTCATGGTATCTACCTAGTTAATAATAATGAGATATATTGATTTATCGTAAAATACTATCTTACCACTGCAATTCCGGGAACCAAGCGTACATTTTAGCACAGCCGTGTTATATCGTCACTATAAACGCTGGCGGCACCTCGTAATGTTTACGAAGCGGCTCGCTAATGTTATTTGCTATAGAGGGTGGACATGTCACGACTTATGTGTGTCTTAATCGTTAGGCAGATAGAAATACGTATGCTCATCGCCTCGAATTGTTTGTCACTTTAAGCAGAAACTTGGTCGACGTCAGGTGATTACGTGATACGGGGGAACGCGACGACATGTTACAAACTTGAAGGATTTATTAACGTGACACATTTGAAGCTTAACAGTGACTTGTATGAACTCCGGTAAACATCGAAACCGATTCCTTTATTCAATTCAAAAGTTTATAAAATGTACCATTTAGAAAATCATTTAGATTATCTAAGGCTTGACAAGTCTTAGATAATTACATTTTTCCAATGTTAAAACTGAGAAAAAAATAACCTCCTTGCGAAGATTGTAATATTTATAGATTATAAAATGGATAATTAGATCTATCTTGGTTTTAAAATTTACTTCATCGCCGACCTTAGTACAGGCCGTAGTCAGATTTGATTGACACTCCTTTTGAAATTAACTTGACACAAATTGGCTTTAATTAAAACAAAATCAAAGATAGACATGCTAACGAGGCAACTTTGTGGACTTTCCAGTGGGATTTTAGAAATTTTCCTTATAACAGGAAATTTTGAAGGAACATAAAAAAACTTATTAAAATACTTTTTTTCATCGGTACATTTTTGTCAGACTTCTATTTTCCCTTCCGCAGTGCGCAAAAGGCTGGTCCTTTTTCTTTATCGCTCTTCGTCCGAACATCATTGACCATTGATCGCCACAGGCTGATTGGTGGAAAATAAGACTGCTTATGTTTTAGAACGGCCAACTGACCTTATATAAAACTATCAACAAGGCAAAACCCCGTCAATTTTTTCGCACCCCACTGACAGAAGTTCTAATATGATTGTTTTCTTTGTTCCAGGTTTTGGCTTTGTCACATTTCAAAGTGAAGATATAGTAGACAAAGTGTGCGAAATACATTTTCACGAAATCAACAATAAAATGGTAAGTTTATGTTTCTGTATCCATTATCCCATAGTATAAAACTTAAAAAAAAAAAGATATCAATAAAAATATCACAGTTAACACAATGAATAACAACAGGTAAATTCAAAATGTTAACGAAATATTTTAAAAATGTTATCGAGAACTACACAGAAAGTTTCAAGAGTTTTCTCCGTTCACAAATTCCTATACTCATCGCTATCTTGACGCACACATTGTCGGTCACATATCAATTATAGGGAAAAGATCGGAGCTGGCAGCGGTCCAAGTGAAGGCAATAAAATCCCACTAAAGTTAGATTTTACTGTGTTTAGATTTTTCCCCCACGACCATTAAGCATTACGAATTTGCAATACATGACCGTGAACTTCGCGTGACTTAGGACAAAATCCAATACGTTCGATCGCAAACTTATAATATGTCTTAGGCATGCAAAAGTTCTCATTTGTTTTTTTTATTACGCAACCTCCTAGTCTTTTACGGTCTAACCTTTGAATATTGAATATTATTTTGTAATAAAATGTAAAGACAGGTAATTTGTGCGTTCAAAGATACGGTAATATCACTTTACATATTGAAGAGAATCGGACTCAGAATGTAAACTTCGTAGACAGATTTAAACTATACATTTGATGTACAACTATCAAATCCAGACACACCTCCAGTGCCAATTAAGCCATAAACTGCATCAACACGCACGCAACACGCTATCTGTCGCTGCGTGTAGCACAAGTGAAAATTTTAGTACGCAATTGAATTTATTGTAACTCTCGACAATACTCGCAGCGTTTAATAGCACTAATAAAAGTAATTATAGTATTATTACTACGGCAGTATAATCAGAAATACAAAATAAGCAATTAACTATATTAGTAGTATTGAGAACTTGGTACGTTAATTTAAAGCGAACAAGGCCCATTTTAATTGCTTTTAACAGCGTATCGTTTAATTGTATGTGCGCACTTTTTATTCATGCGAAAATGTTCAACGGTTCCTTGAATGAGTTGTATTTCGTATTACGCTATTGAGACGTAAAATTTCAAAAACCATCCGTTCTTTTGACAAAGGTGTGCAGTCCATTATCATTGTTTCTTGAAGCTCCCGCCGCCATTATCTTTTAGTCTGGCTGAAAAGAGCGCGTAGTGGGTACCACCCTTCGTTGTCGATGCATATTCCTGATTATTAATGCCCGTTTTTTGTCTCGGCCCATTGTCTCGGTGCCGTAATGGCTGCACGAATCTCGCTGCATGTGTCGGATGGAAGAAATCGCGAGGGTGATATTCGCCCTAAGTGGAGCAAACAACGAACAAAGACATCAAACAAATGGGTAGTGTTTTAGAGTAATTACTGTTCGCTTCCGTGTGAAACGAGAGGTGTGCATAGAGCGTTCGCCTCCCCTCGTGCTTCGCGTCGTGTAATGTATGGCCATACTTACTCTTGAAAACCTGGCCTCTGCGACAACATCTGGCTCGACAGTTTTCGAATTTAATATCGTTCCATTTTTAAAACCGTGCCCGCCAATGATTTACAATAAACGATCATTGAATATCAAAGTCTCATGGGGAGTTCCGACAGAAGTGAAATATAAAAACAATGTCGAAAATTAAAATTGTATGATATTTAATTCTACATATTTTATAAGTACGCCGAACAATAATAACAGCATTTATATCATATCCATAACTACAAATATATTTTGCATATTCGTTTTTTAAAAATAGCTCTTGGAAGGCGTTTGTGATGACGCGGGTTCATTAATTTTGTTCACACAAAAATTGCTCAACGCGCCTAACAAAGGTTTCACTTTAAAAACTAAACGAATGAAAATAACAAGTATAGGTTAGTAACTTTAACATCCTAAGACACAGTTTACTCTGTCTTCTGGCGCGGCCTTCTACCGAATGTGGAAGGCCGTATCAAGATCGTGGGTTCTGTTGAGCCCATGACTTCTTCCGTTAAAGGAAGCCTAAGGATTAAAAGCTAAACAGATATCGGGACAGATAGTCGCGTGACCATGAACGTTGGAAAGGGATCCAAAGGTCGAGAAGTAAAAATCAAAATTAAAACGCGATTAAATCCGTTAACTAGTTTCATTTAATACGTTTAATATTCGCGTAAAATGACGAAATAAAGATTTAAAATATCAATGAAATCTTATGATTACAAATCGGTATAATAGAACAATAAACAGACAACGTATCTAATAGTAAAATTTACATACGCAATAAACTAGACAAGCGTTCCGTTGGAACAGAAGTGTGCACCGTAGCGGCTGCTCTCGTAAATTTAATATGTCATCTCCTATATTAAAATGGTCGTTAAGCTAATAGCTGCTCCGCTTTCTCGCGCGCGACTGATAGGGTGATACCGTGGCTCACTTTGAATAACAAAAAAAAAACGTAATTCCCGTACATGGAAAAAACGGCGACGTAAAATATCGAGAGAGGTTTAACGCCCGAATGATTTATAGCCGTGGACCTATTTGCGTTAGAAGAAAATCCAACGTAACTCACAAACGGCAAAATTAATAGTTGTTACGCGAAAGGGCTCGCTACGAACCCGCGTCACTCCATTTCTTACTTACACCTTGCAATCCTAATTGCTTCCATTTACCGTGAATTTTGACGACAACACAGCAAGGGCCCACGAAACCTTTCAAATATAGTGCAGTTTACAGTATACCCCTCACGTCAATTGCTATTTTCCGGATTTAAGCTGCCGGGAATTCAGCCAACACCTGTGACTCACTTAACAAAATCACAGCTGTTTTGAAGAAACCGTTATACGGTAAACGCCTTAAAATACCGTACAGATACTAAATCAAATAAGTAGTATTATTAAAATAAAATTTATGTTTAACGGTTCAAATTTACTTCATTAATCTTCCTTTTAATTATAAAAATCAGATGTTATACATTTATCTTAATCGGTTTACTGTGACAATGTTATGACATTTGCCTTGTGCTATTACTAGCGTATGGTATTGGCTCTTAATCTGAAAAATATGAAAATAGCAGTGCAAATGTTGCTTTTTTTTCGTTTTATATCTTAATTCAATACAGAATTCAGTATAGCTACTTATTGGATTTTTATAAGGTCCTAAAACCAATCGCTCCATATAAACACTCCAGTAAAAAGCATTTGGGTAAGGCGTAAATTTTTCTCTCCGATCGTACAAGAGGCAAACAAATGGTTTCCGTTTAGGAAATAACACTAAAAGTAGGCGTATTTGAAACTGGCACTTAAATCTTAGGATCTCCAATCGCCATCTCTCCTTACTCGTCTTAAATAGCCAATGTACGGTCGCTGACTGATCCCTTCCTTTACTACGGTTGAAGATTGATCTTCGAACGTATGAATATTGAACAGCAACTTTGTAAGGAACCGAGGAACGTGTAATGATCCCCCCTACGCTAATACGGATAACAAATAAATCCTGAATAGATTCAGTACTGCAATAAATTGCGCGAGACGCTTAAACTATTATGAGTCAATACAAAGTGACGACGATCTTGTCTAGTTTCGATTTTTGATAAATAAAACTACTAAAATTGAGCTTAAGATCTCCGAAAATATAACTGAAGTTGTAAGTTTTAAGTCATAGTCCTACTGCAGATAATCACAGAGAGTTAGTTCTGTATATAGATAAATTGACAACCGTAATACGATACCAGTATTTGCATCGTGTGTATTCGTAGATATTAACTTAAGTCACTATGCCATTAAGTGGTAGTTTTTAATCATTTAATCATGTTCTTTATTATTGTATTTGTGAACCTACCTCATCTTCTCTGGAGCACCCATTAGATTGACCGGTAAAAAATGCCTCAAGCATTAGGTTACAAATATTATTGGCCTTACAAAGATTTTCCATTTGTATTAAGTTTAAGGAAATAAATAAATTCAAGGCAAAATTTAATCGAAACATATAAAAAAAGAAGACAAAAAAAAACCAATTTATCGTTTCATATGAACTTATTTTTTCTGATAACAGTTTTATTATGTAAAAATATTACCATATTTAATACGCGGAGCCGTCCCAAAGATATAAAAATACGTCCGCGAGCTTCGAGTGTCTTCCATACTCTGCTTTCTACGGAGCGGGAGCGACGCCGAACAATCAATCACGCGTTCCTCCGAAACAGTGATTACCATAAACTTCCCGTTTTAGTAAGACCCGCTTCTCCTACACACTATCGATTTGCCCATGGCCATTCTTGAGCCTTATACGTGTATATAGCAAATGCTTTTTGTGACTCCGCTTTCATTGAAACTTGCAATTGGCGCCCTGTAAGAAATTTGGCGAGGCTTTTTCCCCGGGTCTTTTCTTTAAAGGTTTTTTCACAGCTCTCGCAACTTTTTATTGAAAAGTAACTTTGGACCTTTCGCGGAATTCCTTTTTAAAGAACTTAGAAGTAATACCGAAGTGGAAAATATTTAGCCGTTAATGAAAGCGCTTAAGTCTAGCATATTTAAATTGCCTCAATAATTTACGGCTTAATAAGGTACAATGAAATATAGAACTGAATACCATCCATACCTTATATTATCTTTATTTTGGTGCTACATAGATATAGTGATATAATTATCGTAAATTATGTTTTAAAGGCAACAGTATTCTTGATATGTGAGTTGGCAAAATTCATTCTAATTGTTTATCACTTACACGGCTTACAAATCAAAGTACAATCTCCATTATAAAATCTTAACCCTAAGCACTAAAGGTAAGTTTAAAACGCTATAAAATGAATACCTAATGTTAGTCATATAAAGTTTCAGAAATTACTTTCACTAGCAGGCATCCAATTTCCTATGAATGTATGCGATATAAATTTAATCTCTTTAACGCACATAAGGCACGCAAGTCCCAAGTGACGTAACCAACTTCGGCGAACGCAAAGACGTAAATTATGGCTCAACAGGCCTTTCCGGCCGTTAACGATTTCCACTCGAACTTAAATTTGATGCGTGAAAGAAAATTAATTAATCACACGAGGCGC